GGGGGAGAGCGGGGGGCGGGGCCGGGGGGCGGGGCGCTGCCTCAGGGGGCGGGAGGGAGCCTCGCCTGATCCTGCGGGGGAGGGAGGGAGGCGAGCTAACGGCGGCGAGGAAATGCCAGCCCGGGCGATAAATTGCCCGTTTCCCTAGCCGTCGGCTCGCCTGCTGCCGCCCGGCCCTGGAACGGGCTCACTGTACCGGCTGCCTTTGGGAGCTCGGCCCCGCCGGGCCGAGAGCGGGGGGACGGACGGGGCAGGACGGCCCGTCGGTCTGTGGTGAAAGAGGCGCCTTGTCCAGGCGCAGGGCCCGAAGTCAGGGGTGTCATCGGGCGGTCCGTGGCATCCCGCATGGGGTGCTCTAGGGAAGGGGGCAGAGGCACACGCTCGTCGTCCCAAACGGGTGCTGGAACTTCAGCTTCTTGTCGGAAAGCCCACACGAGGGTTCCAGGGCCGCGGCTGGTGCTGCAGGCAAACCTTGTCACGCTCCAGCTACGAGCGCTCCGAAGAACTGCACGCTTTGTCATACTGCGGCTTTCAGCACCCGTGTTGAACCGTTGTATGATTCACACCTCCCTGCAGAGGTTTGCAGTGCCATGGTTACAGTACATCCACAGAACAGTTCTGTGCTTTTACGGCTGCAACGTGGCTCCAGAGTCCTCACAGAGCTGCTGATCTTCTCAGGCGCTGCAGCGTTAAGTTCGCGGTTCCGTAGCAACTGCAGCTCTGAAGAATGGCACCTCAGGAGCACTGCTGCACACAGTCTCTGCGTTCTGCCCTCCACACCTGCCTGGTGAAATTCCCAGGTCAAAGTGCCATTTGCTGCGTAGATCTTCCCGTCCTAGTGGGCAAAGTTCATGGCTCCAAAGCCCTTAAACAACCAGTGGGCTTGCTGCAGAAATGCCAGCTGTTGAAAGGCACCCCAGACTCCTGCCACCGCTGCAAAGGAAGTTTGCAACCAGGCGTATGAAGATGCTACATGTTTTGCCATGGATTTTGAGCCTGCTCAAAGTGCTTTGCTGTATGTAAACATTGTGACTGAGGTTGCAAAGAAAGGTATGTGGCAGTGGCATCCTTTCGGAGGTGACGCTTGGTTTTCCTGCTGCTGTCAAGACACTTGCAATAGTCCTCTGGTTCTCGTAGACTTCTCTGTCCCTACTGTAGGGATGTGACCATAACAATCACGTAGAACTACTACAATTTTTTAACACTGCTTTACACGAATACCACAGCGCTACCATTTCAGTATCCGCACTCTTTTTTGCTACCACCAAAAAAACCACTTGTGGTATGGAAAGCACTCTAGGGATTTGCACCTATATGTGCTGCTGCACAAATGCCAATGATTAGGTCTATACAGCTTTTCCTTTGTTCCCCCCTTTCCCTTTTTATCGAAACAGTTCTGCTTTTTTTCCTTTCTTGTCTTACATTTGCATTGGGCCAACCCCATCCACTCCTGATAGCCTAACTTAATTGCCCAGCATTTCTGTACATGCATGTGATTTTACTCTCTTCTTTAGTTTGGCCAGAATAGTCTTTGTATCTTTTCCTCATCATTTCTCCTTTTCAGTGCAGGGATAGCGGCAAGGATCTCCCTACTGTGTCATACACCCTCCCTTAAAACATATTTTTTGTTTCTACTTTGTCATGCTTGAATATTTAACTCCCCATCCTTTGGCCATTTATCACTCGTTTCTTTTCTCAGTGGCTGCTTTTTTCCATCTGACCAGTATGACTTTGAGGAAGCAGCAGGGACAGACTGCTCCATATGGAAAGTAGAGCTGGGAGCTGAGAGTCAGCAAATTCCACAATACCTGAGCAAGAAGAGCAGAGCAGGTTCACTGATGCTTCAGGCACCAGGCCAGGTTGCCAGGCAAGCGTGTAGTGACAGGGCAGCTCAAGCCGGTGGGTAAGGATCAGAGAGGGTAGGCATGAGCATACCTGCAACAGAGTTCAGGCAGACACTAAGGCCAAGAGCAGGAATTTTAAAGCAGGGTGGGAAAGAATGAGGGGCAGGCACCCACTGAAGCTTCTCAAGGCCTGACAGCTGCTTACAAAAGTTGGCACTGATCCCATCCAGACAAATCCCCAGGGTGGTGGGAAGGGACGTGGGGGAGATGTATTCAGGGCCCTTACAGTCACAGATCTCTCCTATATGCAGCAGGGATGCTGGTAAACAGCCTTGCCTTCAAGGGAAAGGGGAGATGAGGTGGGGAAGCAGAAGGAAGGGAATCCCTAGCCATAACTGTCAGTGCCAGCATGCCAAGGAAGATAAATCTGCTAATAGAAATATATTCACTCCTCAGCTGGCATCATGGTATAGGCATTTTTAAAGACCAGTCAGCCCATGGTGGGGTCAGTGACTTCTCAGGAGATGCCTTCACGCAAAGAGAGCAAGGTTGCCCTGATGCTGAGATTCTGGTGAGGAAGACAAAATGGACTACAGACAATCAACTACAAGTCTACATGTTCAGCATGAGTCTCCTGCATACACACCATACCCTTTTGTGTAAAGGATTTCCTGGAGTTCTTGATTTTTAAAGAAGCTGTTCCTAGGTGTTTCCAAATGCCATTGGGGTTACAATCCCTGCAGCCAGAAGCAGCAATTTAATACAGTACTGTGTACCCCTCCAGAAGGCAAGGGAATAGTTATAAGATGCTGTGGGCACAATCAATTGCAGCACACAGTGATGTTCTCTCTCGTTTGTCCTTTCCTTCCTTACATAAAGCCCTTATGGAGAAGCAAAAAAAAAAAAAAAAAAAAAAGTCCAACAATATGTGCTTTCATTTAAAAAAAAAAAAAAAAAAAAGAAGCTACCTAAAAATGAGCAAGCTTGTTAAAAATGGAGGGGCAACTAAAATAATTATGTCTTTGAGGGTTACATGGAGACTTTAAGGTTACCACACTGGAGGCTTGGGGCAAATATATATAAGGGGAAAAAGTAACCTGCCATGGTTAAGCAGCAGGGACGAGGGAGCCTGTTGCTGGGGACAGCTTTTCAGAAGCAGCCCTTCAAAAGCTAAATTTGGGCCTAAAATTGAAAATAGAATCCAAACTTGTGACAGATGAAAAGTAAACCACACCATGAGGCAGGCCAAAAGGGTTTGAGGAACAACTTGCATAAGGCATAAAATCTAATAATAAATCCCTTTTTAAACACTTCAGGCTCTGGAAGCCTGCCAGACAGTCTGCAGCACCAGGAAAATTAAAAGAAATTTAAAGGAGCATACAGAGAAAATAAAAGAAACTCTAAATTAATTCTTTACATCTGTGTTCACTACAGCAGAGCTGGATGAGATTCCCAAGCCAGCTCTTCTTTATGGGGGGACTCACCAGGGCTTGTGTCTTGAAAGAGTCAGTATGGAACATATAGGTTGTGGAACACATAGGCAAAATTAATAGTAACAAATCACAAGGACCAGATGGTATATAACCAGCCATTCTAAAAGAATTCAAGGGTGAACTGCAAACTGTCCTGTACAACGTCTAGTATAAAACTGCTTTGGTAGCAGGTGTCAGCTGTAATGTCAATTTTCTAAAAGAATGCCATAAGAAATCTAGAAAAGTACAGGCCTGATGTCTGTAGCAGGCAATTTAATGGAAACTGTAAGATAGAATTAGTGAGCATATGCATAAAGATGCTATAATAGGGATGACTCAAAATGGCTTTTGTAAAGGGAAGAACTGCCTCACAATCCTACTGAAATGTTTATGAGTCAACAAGCTTGTGGCTAAGAGAGATAGACCCTGGAATCCTGACCGTGGATTTCTGGAAGGTATTTGGAGAGGTCACTCATCAAAAGTTCTTAAAAGTTACACTGCCGAGAAATAAATAATTGCAGGGGTAAATAACTGGTTGAAAGACAGGAAATAAAACAGTAGGAGTCAATAGTGCATTTTCACAGTAAAAGGAGGTCATCAGTAAAGTCCCACAAGGATGTGTTCTGGAACCTGATCTGTGCAACGTATTTCTCAAGGATCTGAAATGGCAGTGCCAGAGTCTGCTGATGGTACAATGTTATTTAGGGAAATACAGGCAATGGCAGGCTGAGAAGAACTGCAAGCAGAAGAGTCTTAGGATACTGACTGTATGGGCAAAGAATGGCAGATGGAATTTAGGGAACTTCAGTGTAAAGTAGCGCATATGGGAAGAAACTGTCCTATCTTCACATTTGAAATTAAGAGCCCTGAGCTGTTGCAACAGTTATAACAGGTAGTTGTATGAAAGTGTCTTCTCTGTGCCCAGTCACTGTGAAAGAAAGCAAATGAATTATTAAACATTGCTAAGAAAGGAGTAAAGAATAAAACAGAGAAAACATCAAGACAGTGTATAAATTGATCAACATTATATGCAAGTATGGGTCCTCCATCTCAAAAAGAGTACAAAGACACAGGGAAGGGTTCAGAAAAGGGCAAGGAAAAAGGGATCATAAGCATGCAATGACTTCTGTACAAAGAATGACTGAGATAAACCTTCTGGAAAAGAGTGTGTCGCGGGGGATATGATAGCGGTCTGCAAAATCTAGAGCAGCACAGAGGGAGGAAACAGACTGAGCACTGACCTTTGACAGGTGATGTCAAATTAAAGATCATTTACAGTCCTGGCCAGGTAGCACTGAAAGAAGGTAAAATGTCAAGATTAAGCTGCACCTGACCTAACAAGTATGGGTGTTCAGATGATCCAACCAAGTTAGAAGCTGAAAGAAAACATAATGGTGGGGTACTGATACTAATAACATGATACTAGTAACAGAATGGCTAGTCTGGTTTGAAAAATCTGAGTGTCCATCCCAAAGCACCACACAGGAAAATTAAGGCCATGCGTGCATCAATAGGTCTTACTTGCCCTGACCAGCCTCGCCCAGGCTTCCACCCACACGCTCTGCCCATGGGCCCAGGAGCTCCATTTAAGTTCAGAACCGGGTCCCTGACCCTCGCCTGAGCTACCTCATAGGTGTACCACAGGTATACTTGTGTCCACTTCTGTCTCCTGTTTCTTGTTGTGTCTCCTGGATTTCAGGGTTGACCTCAGATCTGACTTACCACCTTGGCTGTGTCTGATGATGGCTGTTGATGAAGCCTGTTATTGTCACCAGCCTTGCTTGTGTACTGCAGGACTGCACCGTGAGCAGTGAGATCACTGCCCCTGCCTTGTCTTATGGTCAGTCCTGGCTTGTCTTCCCCTGTGGAGCAGTCCTGCAATATCAAGCCTCCTTGAACTCTGAGCTGAGCACTGTGGGGCCAGGCCCTCAGGCTGTGCAGGGGCTAGCCCCAATGGCTCCCGACAGCTCCAAGCCAACCTCCAAACCCTGGCCAGGACACAGAGATGGGTCACAGCCCTGCAGGATCCTTTAACATCACCTGCCTCCAGCTTTGCCAAGCTCCCTTCAGTGGGGATCAGGTGAGGGTTCAGGGATTTATTAGGCACATGTGGCTAATCTTTACAGCCAAGGCAATAGATACTAGCTGCTCTGCAGTCATAATCTCCTGGCTTTCAGGGTGGACCTGGATTGAGTCACCTCGAAA